CGGCGCTTTCACGCCTTCCTTTTGCCTTTCCGTGGGACCTTGCGACTGAGCCTCCCGCTGCCGCTGCTGCGTTTCATCTGCCTGCCCTCCGCCGCCGCCGCCCGCTGCGCTGTGGCCGGAAGGAGGAGGCGAATCCCGACGGTTATTACGGCCGGCGGGGCCAAACACGGCAGAAATATTGCCCTCCACTTCTTTTCCGCAGTTCGCAATTGACGCCGCCCTCTTCTTCTCGTCCGTTACGTTCCTGAATTCATACATACAATCGCTCAGCAGGAGGTCTCGCCACCTTGCGGCCAAATCCACTTCCTCAACGTCCCCACCAACTGTAACAGGCGGAGTCGACGCGTGGCCCCCGCCGGCGGCGCAGCACAGCGCGCAGAGGGCGCACACCAACAGCAGACGGACAGCCATCGTCGCTCTTCCCACCGCAGCACACGCACACAGACACACACACGCACAGAGTCTGGCGAGGGGCAAAGAAAGAGAGGGGGAGAGGGAGAAGGGTGGGAGAGGCACACAGGCACACACACAGAGGGATAAAAAGAGATCAAGAAATAAATTGCGTCTTTAGGGGTCGTTGCAGTTGGGGAGAAGAAAGTGAGTGGGTGCGTGTGGGGCAAATGCGGCAGCGTCACCGACCCCGGGCACGCTGCAGCATCTCCTCAAACATGCGCCCCTCCTCCCGGCTCCACAGGCCAGCACCACTACCACCACATGCAGCAGCGGTGGTGGCGATGGCGGCAGAATTGCGCTGCGGAGAAATCTGTCTAAAACCAATTGCCTCGTAACTGGCGTCTGCGTGCGGTGTCGCCTGGTAGGCCGCGTACGCGGCGGCGTCGCAGGCCTCGAGGGACGGCACGTGAGGCTCCAACAGCCGGAAGACGTCCATCACCACACGGCGCTTCGTCTCAAAGTCAAACAAGGAGTCGCAGAAGAGAGACGGGGAGTGGTTCACTTCCATGAGCACAGGCGCCAGATCTTCCGTCAGCATGAAGTCGAAGCCAAGCAGTTCAAAGCAGTTGCGCCCATCACTGCGTGAGCCTCGTGATGCGCCGGTGCCGACGAATTCCCGCTGCAGCTCCTCCAACCCGGAGAGCATAGTCAGCATGATGCACACGTCGATGCGGCGCAGCAGACGCTCCCAGCGCGTCACGGCGGCAGCATCGTCTGCGGAGTCCTCGCTGTAGCCATTGCCCGGCAGTGCGTCGATGTAGTGCTGCAGAAACTTAAAGTCCCGCTTGTTGCCCTCACACACAGCGCCGTTACTCGTCGCTTTCGCAACCCCCACAGAAAATCCCTCTGCGTTCTTGTTGACGGCGTAATTCGTTAAGTGCACACTTGCCCGCTCGCAGTTGCTTCTGCTCGGGGCGGCGTATGCCTCCGCGCAGATGCGCACCAGACCCTCGCGATGGACAAACAACTGCAGTCCGTCAAGCAGACCCGCGTGACCGGCACGCGCCTCGGGCCCCAGCGGCTGCGGCGTTCCTCTCCGCAAGCGCGGGGGACGTCCGGCCACAACAGACGTCAAAAGCACATAGACACGAAGATCAAACTTCTTGCGCTCGATACAAAGGGGCGGCGTCACGTACAACTGCACCAGACAATCCTCCCCGCCCTTGTCTGCCAGGGCCTCCAGCGCCTGCAGCGGCTCCGGTGTCAGAACAATTCCCTTCCCCTGGCACCCTTTGTTCGGCTTCAGTATAAAAAAGGGCTCGCCGCCCGGTGGCTGTTGCCGCTGTCGGTCACGGAGAAACCGCTCCAGCTGCGGCACCTCCGTCGGCGCGGCGAAACTCCAGGGGAAGGCGCCCATAGCCGCGGCGAGGGGCGAAGCCACCTCCAGCTGCCGTCGGATCCGCATCAGCCGCTTGAACAGCACCGCCTTCCGGGCGACGACGTGCATGGCGGGAAAGTGGTTCAGACGATGGCGACACGACAACGCAGCCACACGCGACGGTATCACGCTCTTATCAAGCCACTGAATCTGCGGACTGTTGACTGCGTCGTACGACAGGCCCCGGGATGCAAGCCGCTTGGTGAGCGGCCGCATGTCGCTCCGCAGCGCCACCCCGTGGAAAGCAACAGGGACGTCCTCCTCACGGCCCTCATCTTCCACGTACCATCCCAGTGCCACGGCCGCCGCCCGTACCACGTGATACCGTGTCTGGCTACAGTTCACCACAATGGCCTTTCGAAGCCTCTCCGTGTCACTATCATGGGCAACGCCATTCATGACTATGTCCCGCCGAACACGCAAAAAAAAAGGGGGGAGAAAAAGCCTGAAGGAAGAAGCCATCGCAAAGAAAAAAATGCAGTAATAAGAAGGCGAAATCTCAAGCCCAAGCGTTCCCTGGGACGGGGAGACGCACCGCAAGCTGAGACTAGCAAAAAGAGGGGATATGAAAGAAAAAAGGAAAGATACAGCAGACTCCCTTGTTCGTTTGTTTTGTTCCCTTGTTCCCCTTCCCTCGTACTTTTCGCCCTCTTCCAACCCCCCCGTTTTCGTGGTGGAGGAGGGAAAGTGCGTACGCGTGTGGTGTGCGTGCGTGAGTCTGTTTGTGTGATTGCGCCGGCAGTAGACGTCCCAGCAGAAGCGATACGCATAAATATGCATATAGTTTTGCGTTTCGTCCGTGCTGAATCACCGCCGTCTGCCCATCTCTATAAATGCCCCGGGAGCGAACAAAGGCAAACCACAACCTCAGGTACATGTCGTCGGGGGCGGGCTGTCCCCAGTGCGCCGTCGAGCGGTCAGCAGTGCTGCTGGCCGCCTCACTCTATCTACAAAATGCACCCTCACCGGAACTCGAGGCCCTCTTCCTCTTCTCGCTCTCTCCCCCCCGCACATCCGCGCCTTCCTGCGACACCCGCAGGAGAGATAGTGAGAGACAGAGCTGGTGAGAAGTATCCGCGTGGACGCCAAATTACAACTTTAGGTCCATCTTTCACTCAGTCTTTTTTGTTTTATTTGGGCTTTTTGCTCTTTGGTAGGGAACGGCAATGTGCTTCCCCCTCCCCTCCCTCCTCCCTTTCTGCGAGTCTTCGCTTCGGCCCTCTAAGCGTCGAACTATTCCGCCTCGGAACTCTCAATCCTGCTCAGGATTTCCGACTTTGTTTTTTCGTGCGCGACGTCAATGTCGTTCTCCTTGGCGTACGCCCTGAGCGCGGCGATGGTCCACCGCGGCGTCGGCTTTTCGCCTGGCCGCGCCGACACGGAGCGCGAGCGTTTCGAGCGCGACTTCCGCGGCGAGGCCGACGCCTTCTTTGGCGACGACTTCGATGGGCTCGCCCGCTTGCGGGTTGCGGGCGACCGCGCGGGGTGGCGTTTGGTGGGAGACGCCGACTTCTTTGAACTTCCCCGCTTTGGTGACCTTGCGGGTGACGCGCCGTTCGTCGCGGGACTGCCGCCACGCTTCGGCGTCGACTTCCGCGGCGTCACGGAGGCCGCCGAGCGGGACTCACGCTGCGGGGTGGCGGGGCTCTTCTCTGGCGTGCGCCCGGCGTGGCGCGAGGGTGAGCGGGACGCGGAGCGGCTGCGGGGCTTCCTGGGCTGCGGGGAGTTTGCAGCGGCGGCGGCGGGCGCTTTTGCCTGCCGCCGCGGCGCAGTGGGCGTTGCGCCGACGCTCCTCAAAAGCTGCGCCCGCGTCTTTGGCGTCATCGGCGTCGACTTCTTCGCCGAGGCCTTCGCCTTGGCGATCGTGAGACTCACGGAGTCGCGCGGCGGCGGCGGCGGCGTCGCCTCGGCCGGCCGCACGTTGCCGTCATCGTCGTAGACGCGGTGCTTCGGCAGCGGCAGGTCGTTGTCGTCCACCTCCGGCTTCGTGTGGACGAAGTACCTCCACAGCGGCATCGCGGTCGGCTGGCGGGGTTCAGCGCGCTTGACGCCGCCGCGGTGCGAGGCGGCGGGGGGGCGAAAAGACGCGAAGAAGCAGGGGGGAAAAAAAAGTGACAACAAAAAAGAAGGAGGCGGAGGCGAAGAGGGGGCGGGAGCTGCGGGCCGCGCGGCGCACGCCCCCGCACTTCGCTCCAAAACTGCGTGTGTTTGTGTGGGGGAGCCCGCCCCGCCTGGCCGGCAGGAAAAACCGCGGCACAAAAAAACAAACAAACAAAAAAAACTTTACATTGGCGTGAAAAAAATAAAATAAAATAAAAATCAAATCAAATAAATAAATAAATAAATAAAAGAAAAATAAGAAAAAAAAGGAAAAAAGCTGGAAATTTGCGTCTTTGATGATTCATGGGAATCCGAAAAAGAAAACAAAAAGAAAAAAAACGGAAAGCCGCCCTCGCTGGCTGAAGTTCTCTCGGCGGGAAGTGTCCGGGCCCGGCCCACGGTGGCACCTACAGGCGTGCGGCGTGGCACAACCGCTGCTGGTTGGGGTAGAAAATGCCGGGGTTCATCAGGTTGTCGGGGTCCAGCGCGGCTTTGATCGCCTCCTGCACGCGTATGTGCGTCTCGCCGTGCTCCTGCGTGACGTACTTCAGTTTCCCCACGCCCACGCCGTGTTCGCCAGAGATCGTCCCGCCCCTTGCCAGGGCGCGCTGCGTCAGGCGACTTTCCAGCACCCGCAGTTGCCGGTACTCCTCCTCGTCCCCGAAGGGCACATTGAGGTGAAAGTTGCCGTCGCTGATGTGCGCGCAAACGAGGCAGGGGACTCTGTGGGCCGCAAAGTCCTCCTCCGTCTCCCGAATGACGGCCGGCAACTCCGTTAGCGGGACACAAACGTCCGTTGTGAGCACCCTCTCCGGTTTCCCCCGCACTTGCATGGCGGCGTAGAAGCAGCCACGCCTGGCCTCCCACACGGCGTCCAACTCGTCTCCAGCCTTCAGGAAACGCATGGAGCAGGCCTTTCCCGCGACGCGAAAAATATTCGAGACGGTTTTGAAGTCGGCGCGTATACGACGCAGAGAGGCGTCGCTGTCGGAAAACTCCAGGAATACCGTGGCCGCGACTGGAAGCGAGAGCTTGCTGTACTTGTTCGAGGCCTCCACGGCCTCCTTGTTTAGCAACTCGCAGCGCAGGAGGGTCGTCGGCGCGCCTTGAAGCTTCAGCGCCACCACGGCATTTACGGCGTTCTCCGTTGAATCAAACGTGGCCACGCCGCCGGCGCTGTGCAGCAGCAGCGGCCACAGTTTGAAGGCCACTTCGCACAGAACGCCCAACGTGCCCTCGCTCCCGCAGTACAGCTGCGTCAGATCCAGCCCCGAGGAGGTCTTGCGCACCACCCTGCGGGTGTCCATCACGTTGCCCTGCGGCGTCACAACGCGAAGCGCGAGGACGTTCTCACGGGTGGTGCCGTACTTGAGGGTGGTCATGCCGCTGCCGGAGGTCGCCACCATCCCCCCCACACACGGGTTCGAGGAAGGGTCAGGGCCGAAGAGGAGGCCGTGCTCCCGCGCCGCCTTCATCAGCCTCAGCTTCCGCACACCAGCCCCCACCCAGACAACGGCGTTCCTTACATCAAAGTCCATCCGCTGCAGCCTGGCTGCGTCGATCACCACACCGCCAGTGAGGGCAATGGCGCCGCCCTCAAGGCCGGTTCCGGCCCCCCGCGGCGTCATGGGGATCTTGTGAGCCGCGCACAGCCGCACCACCGCCGCAACCTGCTCGACGCTGGACGGAAGTACCGCCGCGGCGGGCGTCACCGGCACGCAAAACGATTTATCGCTGCTGTATGCCTCCTGCAGCTTCTTGGGGTCGGTAATCAGCTGACTTTCCGGATCCGGAAGCACCAAGCGGAGTTCCGCGAACAGGGGCGCACATTTGGCCTGGCGTTCGGCCAAGCTTGCGACATTGTACACCGGCGGCATGGAATTGTATATGTGTATGTGAGCAATTCTCCTGCTGCGGTTTGTTCTGTTTTATGTATTTGTTATTGCGTCTTTTTCTTCTCTCTGCCTCCGCCTCAGCGAGACGTGCTCCGCAGCAGCCGCAGCAGCAGCAGGGTTAAACAGCAGGAGGCAATGGCACACACTCACATGCACACAAACGAAGCGGCAACCACGGCGGGGGAAGCCGCGCTGCGTCGCAATCGATTGCGGCGTCACATTCACCGCCATCAGCAGCTCAGACAAGACAAATCCAGGGGGAAAAAAAGAGGAACAACAACAACAACAAAAGCAACGCCCTTCTACGGCCGCACCACAACGTAGCTCCTCGTCGAAAGACCGAAGGTCAAAACGTCACCCTCGATAAGTGTCGTGGGGATAAACGGCTGCAGCCGCTCACCGTTGAGGCGTGTGCCGTTGGTTGAGCCAAGGTCCAGCACCTGCAGCTCCATCAGCCACGCGTCCGCGCCGTCGCCCAACTCCGCCATCGCCTCCCGCACGCAGTCGCAGAGCCTGCCAATGTCCTGCGCCGACCCCCAGTCCATCATCGTCCGCTCCCCCATGCACGCAGTTGTCTGCCGGTCCAGCGCCTCAGCGTGGGCGTAGACGAAGCGAACCTCCAGTGCAGCGTGCTGGGCGGAGCAACTTGGGTGGTCGGTGGGGATGTCGTTCACGTCCCGATCTTTGCCCACAAGCGTCACCGCCCGGCGCGAGACCGCGGCGTGGGTCGCCACAGGCTGCCCCGCCTTCAGCACGCAGATGTTGTACGCCGGGACATACGGCTGGAACATGTCGTCCGCAGCGCCCGCGGAGCGGCAGTCGGCGCCTTGGCCGAGCGATATTTGATGCCACCTCAACACATCGCGAAGCAGGGCACCGTGGCGCGTGCCATCCGTGTGCCTCCTCCGCAGCTCCTCGTAAACGCACGCCACGCGAAGTAGGTGGAGAATGCTTTGGTCGACGCCGTCCCCCGCTGTGATGCTATGCAGCACACGCTGCGGCACCGTCAGCAGCGACGGAAACCACTTCGCTGGACGGCCCCCCGAAAAACGCGACCCCGTCGCTGCGAGGCCCTGACGCGCGTCATTCAGCGCCCCTGTCCGCCCGTAGAAGGGCCTTTCCATTTTGCCCCCAGCCCCCCCTTTTTTTTTACCTTTCAGGCACAAATCCACCGCGCCGCACGCAGTGGCAAAAAAGGAGAAAAAAAAAGGAAACTTAACGGTTTGTAAGTGTGCAGCGGCGCACCAAAACGCAAACGGCCCACGACCTTCACCGCCACTACACACACACACACACCCACACACATATTCGTCGGAGTAAAACGTTCAACTGACCACGCCGAAGGCAGCAGGTGAAGCCACACCCCTCACCTCCCAACCTCAGACCTTCTCCTTGCTTGCTTATTTCGCCTCGACTCTAATTAGCGCCCTCTCCTGAAGAAAAAGGAAAAAAAAAATACAAAGTGCCGCCGACTACTGAAGGGAATTTGCGCCGACCTCTCCGTAGCAGCCGACCACCGCCTCCCCCTCACGCGTTCTAACGGCACACCGGCCTCTACACTTCCCCACCCTGTCGCAGGGCACGACGCGGACACAAGACGCGCGTGGCTGGCCGAACCGCCGCCTTTCCCCGCTTTCCGCTGCCGTCTTCTCCTTGTGGCTCTGCCACTTCTTTTAA